TGGAGCTGCCTCAGAGGGAATGGGCACAGAAGTCAAATAAGTACCATCCTACAAGCTCAGCTTCCATTCTTTGATGTCCTCATGTCCTTTACGCTCAGCAGCCAACTGCCTTCTGTCTCCCGTGTCCGTCTCCTGGCCACTTTCCCTTACTACTTCCCAATGCCTCTGACTGCCCAGCGCCCCCCTTACAGTCTTTCTCCAGAACTTCCTTTTCACACTTGGACTCTTCTCCCATCGGGGTCAGTATTGGATAAGTGGGAAATTCCAGTGGTGTGGCATGAAAACGAGGAAGGTGCCTGACTATTTACCATAGAGTTATGTGCTTTCAAGGTATTTAAGAGTAGCCATTTAAGAGAGCATGCATTTGCTTTTTGAAGGAGCGGGGATGGTACAGAGTTGGGGGAGAAGAGTATGAGTAGGAAGGACAACTTTAAAATTCCTTGCTCTGCTGGTGGTTCTCAAACCTGACTGTGCATCGGAATCACCCAAAGAGCTTTCGAATATGCAAAGCTTAAGTCCCAGGCTAAACCCACAGAATCGGAATCCCTGGGGTTGGACTACAGGAATCTGAATTACTGCAAAATTCTAGAGCCTTCTGATATTTGCTCTATAAAGTTTGAAGTGAAAGCGGAGGATCGACATAATCTGAGTAAGGGCTCTTATGTGTTGTCTCCCTCCATCCTGAAGGTACTATTATACTATGGTATGCTGCAAACAGTGAAAGAAGATCCAGCACATTTATTTGGTTAAATTCCGTACGTATTATGACAAAACCTAACAAATAAGATATTTTAAATATGTGCATTTTATCATATCTCAATCATAACACTCGATAACACTGTAAATTTTAAAAGTTCCAAAAGAAAAACCATAAAACAAAATCCAGCATCTTGAAAAATATTTCACGTGCTGAATGTACAAAGGCAGAAAAACTAAGATCTCACAACTATGAGGGACAAAAGTCACATAAACGTTTTTACATGCACATATTAATAGTCACTGAGTACTCACTATGTGGCCCTCTTCTAACTTTTACATATGTCAATGAATTCGATCCTTGCAACCCTATGGGTAGGTACATTTATTATTGTCATTTTATAGATGAGACACAAAGTTACAAAACTAATAAAGTGACAGGCCAGAATTTGAATCCAGGCTCTATCTCTTGATATATTAGTCTGCTCAAGCTGCCACAACAAAATACCACGGACTGGGTGGCTTACACAATAGAAATTTCCCACAGTTCTAGAGGCTAGAAGTCCAAGATTAAGATGGCAGGCAGGTTTAGCTTCTCCCGAGGCCTCTTCCCTTGGCTTGCAGTGCCTACTCGCTGTGTCCTCACATGGCCTTTCCTCTGTGTGAACACATCCCTGGTGTCTTTTTCTTCTTATAAGGGCACCAGTCATACTGGATTAGGGCCCATCCTAACAGCCTGACTTTAATTTAATCACCTCTTTAAAGACCTTACCTCCAAATATGGAGCTACTGGGGGTTGGAACTTCAACATAAGAATTTTGGTGGGACACAATTCAATACAAACACTTACTGACCATGTAACCTCAAGAAAGTTACTGGATCGTCCTAGGCCTCAGTTTCTTCAACTGTAAAGTAGTGCTAATGTGTACCAAAAGAGATAACTCATATAAAATGTTTAGCAGAGTGATGGCACAGAGTATCATCATATACAGATAAGGAAAACGAAACTGAGACAGATGGTGACGTGCCCTTTTTGCATCTCTGGAGTTCTTATGCTACAGAACACAATTTTTCTGTACAACCAAATGCATAATCTAGGATAATTTTATATGACTTATAAATTTTCTACATCTCTTACTTACTGCTTTCTCACAGTATTTTTCTTACTTAAATACATGCAAGGGAGTAAGAGAAGGGGAAGCTCAAATTAATAAAAATTTAGTTAGGGAAGTGTAATAGTTCATGGGATTGTATGTGAATTTCATTCATCCTTTTTCCTAATTTACAGACAATTGGCTACAGTCACACAGTAATGATATCTCATAAGATTAATATCTACTTTTAACTATTAGGAAAGAAAAGCATTCAATGCATTTTTAAAAAATTAAGATTGTCCTTTACATTTATTTGTCTAGTATTATATATATTACATCCATTTAATCCTCAACACAATCTTATGATGTTGTTTTATTTAGCTCTATAATAATCATATGAAAGTATTATTCCCATCTTATAGCTGAGGGAACAGGAACACAGCAAGACTAAATGTTTTTCTTTAATATCACAAAGCTTGACAATAACTGGCAGAGCCAGAACTCTCACTGACATCTTCGAGTCCAAGGTTCTCCTCTGAGGCCACCTTCTACCTTAGCAAATTGTAAAATATGGTTTTCTTGATCTTTATGTTTGACACAAACAGAGTAGGGGCTCAGCAAATAAAGTGGTCTGATTTGGAGCAATCTAGACTAAGCTGCAAGGAATCTTCTACATCCTTTGCATAGGCCAAGTTTCCTAACAGCGTTGACCACCACCAACCCCTCGGACTGACAGTTCTTTTAAGGCAGCAACCATAGACCCTTCTTCCCCAGTGTCTAGCACACTGGGTGCTCATTTAAGTTCAACAGATATTTGAGAAATGACGGTTCAAGTAAATATTTGTTGAATAACTGAATCATAGCAAATTTTTCCTTTTGTGATGGTAATGGGAACTTTACTACCATATAAAAATGAAACGAAGCATTTATTAAAAAATAAGAACACTTTCTCTCATGGACTACAACAGAGAAGCCTACAGGGCTTTTTCCAACCCTCAAATTCTCTGATTCCATGGCAGTCTACCTCTGACAGGTGATTAAACTGACCACCTTGAGCACCAATTACAGGCACAATGCCATTGTGTTCACCAGTTCAAAACCACCATGGTGTTCTTAGTCTGCAGTAAGCTTCCAGGAAAGCAACAGTTCTACGTATGTGTAGGCAAATTCACAATCCCCAGAGGGAATTGTAATGGATGATAAGATCGATTTGAGTCACAGTGGAACTGCTTGCTGTTTGTCAAGGCCCCTATGTCGTAAAACGGAGCTATATTAAGAGGAACCGCGATAACTTTTATTTTCTCAAGAATACATTGCTGTTTGGATTTTTTTTAACTTCAAGTTTGTTTTGCCAGGCAAGTTTTGACCCTGTCATGGAAACTATCTGACCATTTCGGAGCTGTTCTGTACACAAGGAAGGGATGTAGGCAGAGCTGGCCAGAGCTGTGTTCTAAACTCTGCTCTAAGCTCTCCTGTAACTTTAGTGACCTACAGATGTTCAATCTGTTCATCTCTGTTGCTTTTGTGTACCCTGCTGTGAATTGGCTATCAACTCCCTGGCTACCTATTTCACAGAGCTGTTACAGTAGATTTAGAAAAAAAATTGATCTACCAGAAAAAGCATTCGATAAAGAATTAAAGGGATAAAATATTGCTGGCATTACAATTCCTGTATGAATCAATCTTTTCAAACTACTCTGAGGTCTGAAGCAAGACAAATTCACTAAGAAGGTAAAAAGTTACTCTAGGTTCTCTTTTCTACAAATACTTTTTTCTGATGCCTTAATCAAAAGAGAAATTTCAGGAAAAAAAATGAATCAGCATACAAACGGAATAGTTCTGCAAATAGCTAAATTAAAATATTAATTTATCCACTCATCATCACTGTAATAAATATTTATTAAATATATGCAATGTGTAAGGCACTGAACTAGATGCCGTAGAGATACGGAATTATGTAAGAAATGTCCATATGTCCTCCTGTACTGTACCATAAGATGAAGCTTTCGTTTAGATTTCCCTCCTAAATAAACACAGGTTTAAAGTTTCCCTAGGACATGGAAGAACAAAAAGGTTTTCTCTCTTATGACTTTGTGGCTTCATAGAAAAATTTTAGAACACACTGGGAGAGAAACTCTTTTATCTATTTGTTTCCACCAACACGCAGCAGCTTTCTCAAGAGTGACCTACAGAACGACTATTACTTCCACAATAACCTGATTAAATTTGACAAGCATATGATGGGGCAGGAGGGGAGAAACCCATGTGACCTTCAATTTCAATAAGAAAAGTTGAAATTATTGTCAGAGAAAGCAGGAAGAAGAAGAAGATCATGTGTTTTGGAAAGAAGATCAAGAACGACAGGACAGAAATATTCCAAATAACGGCAAGTCACTTGGGACTCCTTGAATGCCCTGCCACATTAAATCACACATGGCTCTGCAATGAAAGAGAAAGTTAAGGCGTATCTCACGCCTCACTTCTGCTGCTGATTGAGCTTGAGAAAGAAAATTAAGACAACCTTTTCAAGTTATTCAATCAAAGGCAAAAATTGTAGCCTTGACATTTAAGGGAATAAGCTCAGGAGGTGGGGTAAAAAACTTGTTTAGCAATTAGTGTCCTTACTCAATTAGTTTAAAACAAAAAGTCCCAAATTTCCTTAAAGCTTTACTGGTATTAGTTTGCTGGAACTGATTGTTCCAATATACAAATTCTTTGTGTTTAATTCCCCCGCCCCTAGATTTATGGCTAAACTGTTCTCAAACATAGAACAAGCTTCTTAATATCTGGTTCTTTCATTTTTAATACGTTATTTTTCCAAAGCCATAGAACTTATGTTCTTCAACAAATGAAGTAGAGTGAATGCTGAGAACCAGCTCTCATGTCCAAGGATGAGGAAACAAAAAACGGTTTATGCTCCAAAGTGAACAGGGCATCCTCACAATCAGGTCAAGATCACATTAAGGAAATCTATAGTACATCAAACAAGTTTTGTAGTTATAGTTCTCATCAAGCTGAACCGTCCTCAGGACAGCCAATCATAAATAAGATTGCTGTATTTGGAATTCAGACAAGAATAGGCAGCCTCTTCACAAAAATGGAAAATGACACTCAGCCAGCACTATGTCCTGTGGTATAATCTCACATGCAACACATGAACAATTCTGTTATTCATTTTTCTTCTTAAAAATGAAAAGTAGATCAACTTACATGGCTCTCTGGCAATGAACTGAGGTACAGTGTTGGGCAGAGGAGTACTGGGGTTTGGAGTCCCTACTAGTTTGTTCTTGGCCATCTTCGTGTTTGCCTTAGCAAACTCTAGTCGTAGTGTTTGCGGAATTTCAGGATCGAAGCGGATGCCCTTTGGAAATAAAGAACAAATGGAAGATGTTTTCATTTCCTTAGAGTCAGACCGGAATGGTGACAAAATAAACAAACCAGTAAACCCTGGCCTATTAAAAAAAAAAAAAAAAGTCAGCAAGAGCTCTTGTTCTCACTATTTACACAGAATACATGAAAACCTATAACACAACATGTCTAGAAAGCTGGGGAGATTTAGTTTACTTAATCTTTAGTTACATGGCTTCCCAACTTTTCTTCATGGACAAAAACCTGCAAGTTTTAAATTTGGACCAGCAAATTCCTAGCACAGTTAAAAAACTCAGTTAATGGTTACCAATAAGAAGAATAAATGTAAAGCCCCATATAATACTAGAAAGTCTAACACCTAAAATCTCAAAAGGCCTAGGCTTGATCAGTGCCCCCACACGGACTTAACACACTGCAATTCTTCAGTGCCTTGGTTTTACCATCTACAGAGGGGAAGCATTCTCATCGCTTTCTAACTGGAGAGCTTCCATAAGTGATACCTGTACTGAGTTACTAAGAAGACGGGAACTGAACAGTTTTAAAATTTCAGTATAACTAGTATCATTTAATTCCAGTTAGTTTATAAATTTATATAAAATCTGAATGTCTTGATATGGTTAAGTTCTGATTTCGATTATAGCTGGCTTATTAGTTATGTGGATAGAGGAACAGATTATATGGGCCAAAGAGAGGATAGTAATTACAATTATACTTGACCCTATTACTGTAATTTACTTAAAACAAGACATATTCAACGAAATAAATATGAACACTTTAAAATACAAGATTTAGGGTAAGATAAGTCTATTTTGAAACTCTCATCATTTGAGAATGCCTCCATTGTTAAGCATGACAAATCCTCTTATGATATCTACGTTCGATAACATGGATTCTGGACCCAAACAATCGTATCAGAAAGATATCCCAGTATGTAGCACATAAATGTGCATCCAGATCAGACTTAGGGTTCATGTTTGTCTGTATGACATGTTCTGGAAAAGGGGTGAAGTTCTGAAAATGAGTATCCTAAAAATACGGGTGGGCCTGTGGGCCCCAAGCCCCACTTCTTAATCAGCTTGAAGAAAAGCAAGAGCAATTTCCACAAGAAATTAAGAATCTCTGACTCTGCAGACCAGGATGATCTGCTCCGAGCTTCACAGACTTAGCACTGAAAATGGGAGGAGAGCCTATGACTAAATGGTTAACAGCAGTAAGAAAAACGAGGTAGGAAAGGGGTAGAAAAAAAGGTCTCCAGGGAGGTATGACAAAAAGCCACACAGCTCTGACCCACAGACATCCTGGAGTGGGTGGAATTTCTTTAATCAGCTGATTTGCCCATTCTCTGAGAAGAAACCAACTGAAGGTGGCAAACAGGTAAGGGTGGGCAGGAAGAAAAGGAATCTACCTGTGTAGCCCCAACCAACAACAAAAAGTGAAAAGGGGCTGCCAGTTATATGAAACATAAGAAATTCTTTAGTCTCAGTTTTTGTTTTGTTTTAATTTGGGAAACCTTAGTATTATCTTGCCAAAAACATACATAAAAAGAACAAAGCAGCATTCTGAAGCACTTGCTTACATTCGCTCCCACATAAGAACATATTACTGTACCAAAGCTAATGTCACAACAGAATAAATATTTCCAAATATGGACCTGAAGAGCTGTGGTCTTTGCTGAGAGGCAAGCACAGTCTCTGACTGTCATTTAAAGGTATGCTGTGGTAGATGGTAGGACTTGTATGTTCATACCACAAACCCTCAGCTGCCACACAGTTAACTCGCCACCAGTTTCAGGTTGTCCTCACTGGCACTAAACTTCACCAAGCTTTTTGTGAAGGAGTGACTTTCCTAAACCTGAACCCACATATCTGACCACTGTGGCCCAGGCCATTGTAACATGTGAAGAACATCCTGGGACCTATCAGTAGTCCTCTGGAGTGTCTAGCCTCAGACAATAAGGCTGCACATCTGAATTCTATGCCTCAGCTCTTTCACTGGCATTGCAGGGTCAACTGAGACTCCACACAATGTACTTGCCTCTCCTCATACAACCTGGGCTGGTGGCTCAGGTCTTAACACATGCCGAAGGGAGTCTCTCCGACTTCCTGCCCCCCTCTTCATACCCTTCCTCCCCATGTAAGCTAAAATAACACCACCATCATGTTCCAAATCAAAGTTCCAACTCTTTATTTAAAAAAAAAAAAACAAAAAAAAAAACTCCGAAGTTAAAATGACCTAACTTGTTTGGCAGCTTATTCAGAGGCTGGAGGCTTAGAGTAAGAGCCGTGTTCCTCTGACATCTTTAGCAGCAATACCATACTTGGTAATCAATGTCCTGCTCAGCTCTGTTTCTATCCACAGGGATTAGCCAAGCCCAAAGCATTTAAGTGCTCAAGGAATGGTGTGGTGTGGTGGGCGTGGGGCGTGGGGATAACGTGGAAGTGAAGATGAAGAAAAGAAAAAGAGGAGAAAGAGGGAGATAGATAAAGAGGAGACATGAAAAAAAACACCTTGTGCTTTTAATTAAAACCTAATAAAATTACTCGCTGGCCACAGTGAATTCACTTTAAATGCTGTCAGGATAAAATTACTGCCAAGTGAAAGGGGGAAATTTGTACCTTTCAAAATCAACTTTTTCCTCTTTTGTCTATAATTAACCAAAACTCTTCCTATAATGAACAGAAACTTTTCCAGTTGTAAATGTTGTCTTGTTTACAGGGTGACCGGAAAGCAGTATGTTATCAGTATGATATCAATTTGAGAATCAACAGTTATTTAGAAACAACTCAGTCTAACTGGCTACAGGGACAGCCAACAGTCTCTTCGAGATGGCCTAAAACACTGTGACCAAAGCAACAGAGGTTCGCCATGATCTACAAAAGCTAAACCCCCTTCCAGAGCCAACTCGGCAGGGATAAAGACATTGTTGACAAATAATGGATCCTAAGTCGTCTAGTATACTTAAGAATACACTGGGGCAATTTTGAATCCATACGCTTATGCGTTATGGACTGAATATTTCATATGTTAAACCCCAAGGTGATGGCTTGGAGGTGGGCCTTTAGGAGGTAATTAAGTTTAGATGAGGTCATGAGGTGCCTCCTATGATGAGATTAGTGCCCTTGGAAGAAGAGACACCAGAGATCTCTCACCAAGAGCGTGCACCGAGGAAAGGCCATGTAAGCACTCAATGAGAAGGTGGCTGTCTGCAAGCCCAGAAGAGGGTCCTCACCAGATACTGAATCAGTTGGCAAATTGATCTTGGACTTTCTAGTCTCCAAAATGGAAAGCATTAAATGTCAGTTATTTAAGCCATTCAGTCTATGATATTTTGTTATGGCAGCCTGAGCTAAGACACCATGCTAGCACCGTTTTCTTTCTTGGGCCATAGTTCCTAAATATACCTTTTAGTACTCTTTCTGAACCTTCTGTGGTCTCAAACAAGTAAATCTCCCCTTCTCCACCAACCCCATCCTGTACCCCACCTTTCCCCTCACTGCAGGTGACTCAACCCACAAGAACAGTTTTATTCAACAACCTTTGCGATGCCTGGTATGTGGTCACTAGAAGGCCTACTAATTCAATCTCAAAAGCTACAGAGAACAATTAGAGACACCAACAAAAAATTCAAACTCTGCATTTATATACTACGATGCTCTTAACTCAAAGAAAGTCAATTATTGCATTCAGAACTCTGTTGAGGGAATTTTTTAAAAATCCTCTTTTTATTTCTGTTTCTGTTACATGTAAATGAAGCTTAAGAACTATTTGTAAATAAAAAGATTAAAAAGAGAATTTTCTAGACTTATGGAGAGACTGGAATAGACCAGACAGGAAGCAATTTGAGCCTCGCTGGAAAGAGAAGTTGGTTGGGATGGCTGCTCTGTTGGTCCTTCTTTGGGAAGGTCACCCAGAAGCCAATGTCTGGCTTCTATGCTCTTACTCCCCTGACAGTAGCTGATTATTTAAAGGAAAGATGCTGCCCAGTAGCATATATGTTTTTTCTTCTGAAGATTTCGACCTTGAATATAAAGATAAAGAAAACGGAGGTAGTTGGAGCTGAGTCATCTTAATAATATCCCACTAGAGAAAACATCTCCAAACTCCTGTCACTGAGGTCTTCAGAGCTATCCTGACGCCTGGTGGAATCTTGTTTATTTGGTACATCATTCAATTCCATCAGCTACCAGGTATCCCAGGGTCCTTATGAATGGTTCTACCATTAAAGTCAGTCAACCAGTCCTTGATAACTAGCTTTAGGGACAACAGATGCATTCATTAGAGGAACAAACAGTAAAGAATAAAGCAAGGCTATATGTATTTACTGTGAATGATGCCCACAGAAATATGTTAAGGGAAAAAATGAATGATGTTAAATAATCTTGGAGGGAGCAGGAGAGAAGGGGAGATTCTGTACATGTGCATGTATGTGAACACATTAGCCTATCTGTGTAAGCTCAGAAATGTTTACAATATGACAACAAATCTGTTAATAGAGGAACCTTTGGTGGTGATGGTGGCAGGGCTGGGAAAGGGGGTAGACAGGACATGATGACGTCTATTCTATATAATTTTGAATTGTTTGAACTTACTACAAATATGTATAATTTATAAAGTTACAATTT